CGGTGCCGGGGGTGGTGGGAGGGCGCCTTTGTACTCTTCGCACATACTTCCGGGGATCCAACAGTAACCTTCCTGCCTTACTAAAAGGACATATGTGAAGAATGCTTGGCAGACACAATACAAACTTTTAGCACATATATTTCGAAAATATGAAAAATTTTAACGGATACCTTAAAAAACGTGATTGAAATGTGAAGCCATAATGCTGAACATGGTTCACTAATTTCAAGACACACACTATTTGAAAAAACTGACACGCGGAAAACTTTTGTGGAAAATGATATGGACTGATCAGGCATTCATGCGTCACCCATAAGGTTGGGACAAAAGTCTTTTAAAATGTAGGTTGGGATTTGGCCAATGTGAGATACACCCAGAAGTTTTTCTTTAGAGATCCAGATGCATGATTTTAACGCTCTCGGTTTGGTTACTAAGAACCTAAACGTTTGCACTGTCATAAAATATATTTCGAAGACCAAGGTTTCCGAGAACTGGTATCACACCTACCACTGGCTCTCTGTACACACAGGGCGTAGGTACGGTGTCTAGAGGTGAGGAGTGAAGAGGGGGCAGGAGTCTATCTCACCGGCTCCCAAGATAAGGCTTACGTATGGCTTTTGTTGCTGTTACTTATTTTTGTTTCGGAATGCTGTTAACAGCGTTATGGTGAATACAAGAAGCTTAAAGAACGGGTACAGATATTGAAACTATATGGTCCCCTCAAAAGACAATCTGAAAATCTACAATATTTACAGGAATAAACAAAAAAATACCAACAAGTTTTACATGTTCAAAGAACTTTCTACCACAGGTGACCTTTCACCAGGGCTAAAGTTCAGTTAGACGGGAAAAACACCCAACACCCTCTAACATAAATTTATGTTGTTTATTTAGCTTAGCTTTTAACCAGACTATCTAGCTTAGCTTGGCAATCACAAGCATTTCTATGGGGAATCTGCGTTTAGACTGAGTTTTTAATAAATTCAATAATTTTACTAATCCACACGTAGTCAGATTTTTAGGCCTTCAGTGTTTTCTGGATATCTATAAACAGAAAATTGGTAAGATCAATTTAAAGTCTTTTATTGGAATGTACCTTACACATAAAAGCAACAACATGGAAAAATTCTGTTGTGAATTCAACTTTTTTGTAAAAGGGTTTTTTCTACCTATGGTGTCATGTAAGAGGGTATATTTCAGGAGGGCCTCTTATACAGTCAACCAAATCAAGACCCTTAAATAAAAAACAGTATGTGTCTGGGTTTATTTGTTTGGGTTACTGGGTAAATAATCTCCATGTGGGAAGGACTTTAAAATAAGAACGAAAAAAAGGTATTTATAAAAAGATAAAACTGAGTTCTGATCACATGTGATTTCTTCCCTTTCTACGTAGTAATAAAAATAGTCAAATTTAGTTATTTAAGGCTGTGTTGCTAGTACTAAAACCTGACAACATTCCTGGCGGTTTTAACCTTTGGTATAAAGGTATGCCAGAAACATGGTTAGTGTCTGATACCAAACAAAAAGATCAGTTTTAGTATGACCACGTACAACTTGCTCTAATCAATGGCAATGCTGAGACATTTCGAGAAAATGAAAACATATAAGCAAAAACCAAAAGCAAACGAACAGAAAACAAAACCCAGAGCTAAACCACACCGAATGGAAGCAGACCTCCTCAGGCAGCTCTCTAACACCGGAAGGCGTGTGTGTGTGACACAAAGCCTCACTGAGCTCCGCGAGAAACTGAACGTATTTAAAGTATATAATTAGGGAAGTTTTGATATATGTATATGGCCACAAAACCATCACCACAATCAAGGTAAGTAGTACAGAGTTAATTGAATACAGAAATGCTAAAGCAGGTATACTGTAGTATGCAGTATAAATGGAATACCCACCCATACAGTGTTAAACCAACTGTCAAAATTAAATAAAATGGCATAAAATCTCTTGACTTATTTTGATAACTATTCAAAAAGACTTTTAAAAACCACAACGGCTTCAGAAAATTAAAGCAGGGAGGGCAGCAGTATCTAAAAAATAATTCATTGGTTTAAATATTTTAACCTCTTTTTCTTTCTGAAGAAAAAAAGTCATACACAATGAACTTATTAGATGTGAAAAGAAAAAGAAAAATGAGCACTAGGTCAGATAGCGATCTAATTGCAATTTGTTCACCAGTATTATCTTTCAGGGGAGTCTTCTCGACTCCATAAAGCAGTTCTTAAGACTGAGTAATATAAATACAAGTTATTTTTTAAAAAGCAACTGTATTAAGCATCAGAAATGTGACCCATTTAACCAAAACGAGTAGCACATATATTTAAAATCTCTTCGTGTACAAGTCTGTGAACGCTCGTGCTACGCTATGCATAAACCTAGCTATGCCACAGCCCCTAAACTTACACCGCAGCTCCGAAACCCGGTTCCAACTCTGCATCTGAATCCGTCATACTGTAATACTCGGTAAGGCCAGAAGTTAAGTTTAAAACTGTACTGTTAATAAACGGTTAAAATCTTAAAAGTTCCGTGGAGTCAGAAAACACTCCTTTGGCTTAATTCTTCTCTAAGTCTTACCTCTTGTTCTCTGAAGGACTGGTTATTCACATCCAGGACTCGTATGGTCCTCTTAATAGGCAGGAGACCTCCGATCTCATCATGCGCCACCATGCTTTACCAGGTACCCCTCAGAACTCTCAGGATCGGTCCCCCTCCGGGCCAGCCCTGTCTCCGAGCCCCGCAGCGGCACAGCTTTCGGCGCGCTCAGCCGCCCTCGGCAGCCATTTGCCCCCGCCTCCTCGCGGCGGAGCTGCCTGCCTCTGCGAGCCGCAGCGAAACGCACGCAGACCCCAGGGCTCTGTGGGCGGGGCCAACGCCGGCCAGGCTCCGGGGGGCGGGCACCTAAGGAGCACGTGACTCCAGTTAACTGACAGCCGGGCACACCTAGGCTTCTCAGTTTTCGCTGTGCAAAAGAAAGCTCTTTTTCAAGAAGAGGTCTGGAATGTGTACAGGAAGACGAGCAGCGAAGAAAACCGGGCCACTGGCTAGGCCTTTCCTGGTTCCGAAGCACTCCCAAAGAGAAACTAACTGCTCACCCGGGTCACCTGCTCCAGCGCTTGGTCACAGGCGCGGTCCTTTTTCTATAAAACTCTATCACCTAGAAGGGCATTTAGAGCGGACAACTTGGCAGCTTTAAGGAAATCATAATTCAGAGCTAAAATGTGTATATGCTAAAGAGATGCCTAATTATCCAGGAGCTTGCCTTTATTTTACACGAGTATAAGCATAGTCACAGTTGTAAAATTACCTACGTCTCTGCCAACCGGTTCCTACCTTTTTTTCTTAAGACCAGCGGAGTAAGAGCAGTGGGCACCCTCAGGTACCTCTTTCACATCTCCCCAGGGCTGTGGGCAAAGGGTAGTTGGGCTCCCTCAGATTTTAAAGCGCGGGCCTTGCCTAGACTTAAAGGCAAAGAGTTTTTCTTCTGCTTGACAAATCTGATTATCTGTGTAATAGATGTTTTAGAACATAAATACATAAAAGGTGATTTCTACTCTAAAAATGTATAACAGGGTTGTTCTCTATTGTGAATTAACTGATCTTGATATAGCCCCAATAGAGTAAAAAGGCCTACTTACAAAGTCTTGCATTTTACTGGTGAAGAAATGAAGTTCACAGAGGTGGAGTGACCTGCCCGAAGCCACATACAAGTGATAGTCTGAATTTCTTGTTTAAATCCTTTCTTCTATGAAAACACCCTACTTCTGACGGTTTGGTAGGCCTGCTACAAAGCAGATTTTCTTCTTTAACAGAAAGTACTGTATTCTATTTTGAAAGGTAGGATTTTTGATTCTAACTGTATATATTACTATAAATCATATAATGCTGGTAATCTGCAAAAACACTTCTATTCTTAGGATTTATGAGGAGCAGAGAAGCTTGAAAACTCTATTATGCAGAAGGCACTATTCTAGACACGGTGAGTGATACAAAACAATAAGTTTCATCCCTGGTCCTAAAGTGCTACCAGACCATTGTGTAAGGCCACATGGAGAGGTGACTAATACAGGGCAGCTTCTGCAGATTCTAAAATAAGCTGTACAGCTAGTCAGTGCTACAGGAGTTCAGGAGAAACCACTCTGGCAGGTTTCCGAGCTGAGTGGTGCCTTGGAGGCCATGGTATGCTCTCATAGGTCTGAGCAGGGGAGATGTGCATGGTGTTCCCCAAAAGCGTAGCGGGGTGGTATGTGTGAACGCGCAGTAAGTAAGGGCTATGGGTAAGGGGAGAGGGAGAGGGGCAGATGCAAGAGATAAATGCACCTTATGTTGTAACGTGGTGTTTAAAATGGTTTGAAAGATAACTCACTGGAAGCAACACAAAAATCACAAGTGGGTATCAAGAACTCTGTGTCAGGTAGGAGAAGGATACACGCAAGGGACAACAAATGCACGAAGTCGAAAATGCCTATGATTTTAAAATTAGGAGGGTAACTGTTAATGCGAATAGAGAAATAAGAAGGAATAAGCTTTGAAAGAAAATTCTGAGTTTCATGTTACATATACCGAGTCTGAGGTGGTGGAGGAACATGGAAATGGAAATACAGAGCTAGCATGCGGGAGTGCTGCCCGAAACTGCGAGGCCAGCAGGGAGATTTAACTGAGGAGTCAGACACACGGGGATCAGCGTCCGAGCTTTGGGAGGGAGTGAGATGCCTGAGGAAGAAAGTCTGGACAAAAGAGACGGGTCCGATGCTAAGGGAAAAATTTTGCAGATGGAACAGTCAAAAGGAAAGAGAGCAAGATGGCAAGGGAAGAAAAGGTGATAATTACAGCAAAAAGGTTAAGAAGGGCAAGAAAAGACTCATGGATTTAGTGATTACGAGTCTAAGGAGGACCTATTACAGAGGTTAAAGAGTAGAACAAATAAATAGTGGGCACAGACTATTTATAATGACAAATAATCTATTAAAACGATTTACGAAGGTTTGTGGGGCCGTGTTACTTCTTGCAGGAAGGCCCAATGCTGCTCTTCTGTAAAAACCAATGTCTTTCGTATCCAAGATGATGGTAATAACTCGTCCTCCTGCACTGAGACTTTTTTTAGCAATGGAGACTGGTTATATTTCACCATCTATCCTTTATCGCCCAGTCATCAATATGCATGCATTGACACATACGATGCAGCTGGCCTTCAGAGGAGCTGTTTGTAGAAGATAGCTCTATACAGCATTCCAGTGGAGTCACCTTAGAGATTATGGAATCCAGTTCCCTAAATGTCACGGGTCAGAACACGGATCGGCCTAAGCCCTCCGAGACAGTGAGAGGCTAAGCTAGAAGCCAGATGTCTGGCTCTGTTAGTTTCAGCAGTACAGCCACTTAGTTTCATAAAGGAACAAAGGACCTCTGCACAGCGAGAGGAAAGAAGCTTCTAGGGTAATCTCGTGGGTCTCTTACCTGATGTCTTTCTCCGAACTAGGTTTTTCTATTCAGTTCTGATACAGATAAGGCCAAGATAATGAGGGGAAGGAATAGCTCGTTTCTCCCCTTCAGCTGGGGACCCATGAGGTAAAGGTGGAAGTCTTCATATGTAACAATAAAAAGCCTACAGGAGCCAAATAGGGTCTCATGGTGACAGTCGTAGCACGAAAATCCCAGCTCGCCAACCCTAAAATCTTAGTTTCATTTGAATGTTCGGGTTTGTGGTCCAAATATAATTTTGACGACGGCAGATAGCATCTAAAAAAGCAATAACGAACACGGAGTGTTCAGTTAGCACTCTGAGTGACAAGCCTGAGCGTCCTGGCTCCAGCAACGCTTCATAAAATCAAGGGCTGGAGGGGTCTTTTGAGATCACTAACTTGTCCTCCTCAGTTTTCTTAGGAGGACGTGGAAAGACAGCCACAAAAAAGAAAAGGGGGCTGTCAGTCCTTACTCTGCGCTAGGAGCTTTACTCATGCTATCTTATTCAACCAACTTTACGAAGCATGTATTATTACTTTCATTTGCAGGTGGAGAAATCCGGACTTGGAGAGTTTGAGAGCCTCGTCCCAAGTCGCATGGGTAATCAATAGCTGGGAGGGCTGAATCTGGCCTGCTCGGCTCCCACTGGAACACGCTGTGCAGAGAAGTCACTCAGTGTAGCACCTTCAGCACATGTCTGGTGCATGGTCAGGCTGGAAGCCAGGGGCAGAGCCAGGTCCAAAACCTCAGTCTCCCAGCACGGGACGGTGTTTGCTGAAGAGCTGCTAGTATTTTAGAGAAGGAACCAGAAAGAAAGTCGAGAGATTATTTGCCTTCCAGCCTTTTTCTATCAAGGCGGGTAACTAAAAAGATAAGAGATCCAGTTGTTTTAAGTTTTAGAAGAGATCCCGATTCAGTTACGGCTATGGGTAGAGAGAACTAAGTCTAAGCTCTTTGCTGCCCTCTACAGGGGATATTGTGAAGTGCAATCGCTAACCTGCTTTTTTATAACTTTGTAATTAGGTTTATGAGGACCTTGTTATAGAGAGGGATGCATTAAAAATCTTTTAGTATGTAGAGAAACATTTGTATTTTCAGCCCTTGTATAGCTCTCATGTTTTATATCATTAAATTAGACATATATTTAAAAACCATATAAGTGTATGAAAAGATTCCAGAGTTCACGAGAAATATTTTAAGGACTTTTTCTAAATATAAGAAAAGCATGTTCTACTTTAAAACTCTAGAGTTCAAGATTACAAATAACTACTATGTATCTCACTAAAAATAGGTTAGTTAAACACAGAATTTCAAGTTTTACTAAAAAAAGAAGCACCGATTGAAAGATCAATAAAACAGAACTTCAGAGAAACTAGAATTCCAAACTATCTAAAAATGAGTTAAAAAAAAATGACGAAAAAAGTAATTGCATTTGGACTAGATGAATATGAAAGAAGTTAGTAATAAAGCTGTATGTGGGTATGAGCTTTTAAAAAGCATTTGGATTAAGAAATTTAAGTGTCTGCAAACCTTACTAAGAATTTGGTTTGGGAAAAGATGGATCCAGATCAATTAAATACTACTAAAAAGACTATAAACACTTAAATTTTTTTTTTTACACTTAAAAATGCAAAACCCCCCCCAGGATCCATTATTCTTTTAGCATAGAAAGAAATGCTATCTCCATATTTTTAAAAGCTTTTCTTTGACAGCAGTAAGGCTCACCTTCAGATCAAGGCTGCTAAGGCTTACGACATCATCATCTTTTGCTCTTCGTTTTCTTTTCTATAAGAAAAAAAAATTCATTATTATACAGAAGGAATGCACGATACTCCACTAAACCAAGACTCCATACAACTAGAAAAATCACTTTAAAAAGTGAAGCCTTTGGCTGTGTTTATGAGAATATTTTTACGAGGGATGTTCATAAATGATCTCTACCATATATATTGTCTAAATAGTGCACCCGACTAAATCATCTCTTGTTGTGAAGTGATGTTATCCTTTTAAAAAACCTACTTAGGAAGAAGTTTTTCAGAACCAAACTCTTATGTAAGTCAAAGGCTGTCGAGTTTTTAGGCAACAAATTTTTTAAAGAAAGAAACACATTATTTATTCTATGGGAGGGAGGGGTCTTCACTAGAAAAAAAAAAATCATTTTCTCATGGTCCAAAGTAAGATTTGTTGCCTGAAGCAGGATTTATCAGCTGGAAGATGACGTACACATCCCTGAAGTACCTTGCAGTCATTCATCACCTTCATTCAGTCCTACTGGCACCATTAGTGGCAAAACTGTGTATACATCTTTAATTCCTGGTTCTTAATCAATACTGAAGACTCTTTAAGTAACATTTCATTCTCCAACATCTCAAAATATCTTTTCAGGTTATTCGTGATAGAGCTTAGGTTTTGTGAACTCTCAAAACTGACCAGACATAGCTCCCTTCCAGGACCTGACCCAGCCTTGAAGAGAAACTGGTGGGAGTAGAATCGAAATCAAGCAGGACAGGGACAACAGAGGACAGGAAAGATAAAGTCCAGGTAGAAGTGGAGCAAAAACAGGGAGCCTGGAAGTCTCAGAAGCAAGCCATCCGGAAAACAACAAAAGGGGAGCTCTATGAAGTTAGAAAAGCCATCTGAACCAAGCCTCTTTGTGAAAAGTTCAGGAAAACTAAGTTCATTAAAATGAACAGAAAATTCTCCAAGTCAAATCCTACAGAAAACAACTCTAAGAAAAAAAAAAAGAACAAAGGGAAGAATAACATCCCTGCAGGGAATGAAGGAAATGCTTAAAGAAGCGGAGAAAAGCTGTAACACACTATTTCAAATTTAGCTAAAAGACATTAAGAAAATGATACAAGACATGGAAGAATATAAATCAGAATTAGAAAAAACTAAAAAAAATGGGGTGACAGAACTCAAGAAATCTTTATTGATCCTAAGGTCATATCCAGACGATGCAGAAGAGTATGAATAATAATACGATCCTAACTTTGCAAAGCAAACTAAGTGAAATCCTGCATCTGTGTATCTTACCTGTGAGGCTGTGTGTACATTCATGAATAACTACATGAGCAGAACAGAGAGGGATACACATGGTGTGGCTGACATGGCTAGAGCAGAGGCTGGGGGACCGAAGGACTTACACGGAGGGGGTGGGGGGAAATGTAGCAGGAAATTGCCAAGCAAAAAGACTGTGCTGAGGAGAAAAAGCACGTACATGATCACACTGACGCATTTATATAATTGTACATGTGTGGGCATGCGTATAAAGAAATTTAACAATTTTATACATTCTTCTATATTTTCTTTTAAACATTTTAAAGTTTTGCTTTTTCATATTTATATATTCAATCCACCTAGAGTTTATTTTGTATGTACAAGGCATGAGGTGACACAGCTAACATGCCAGCACCCCCGGACACCATTTCTTGACAGCACCATTCCTTCCTAATGCTTATGACACAGTAAGGTCTCATATACATGTGGGTCAGCTTCTGGGGTCTCTATTTTGTTCCATCAGTCTATTTATCCATTCCTGCACCCATTATATGCTGTGTAATTACTATACTTTTGGAGTAAGTCTCAATAGCTAGTACAAGTAAGTCTTACGCTCCCTGACTTACACACTACTTTTGCTGTCCGGGCCTTCCACTTTTCCACAGAAATTGTGGAATGAGATCTATTATACTCTCATGGGATTTCTATTAGAACTACACTGAATTTATGAATTAATTTGGGGAGAACTGATATTTTTATGCTGAGTCTTCCCTTGCATGAGAATGGTATATTTCTACCTAATTAGGTATCCTATGTTCTTTATTAATGCTTCCAATATTTCTCACCAAACTGAGATCTTTTCACAGATTTATTCCTAGCTTTCAAAATTGTTTTTTCATTAAAAGCATCTTTAAAAATTATATTTAATGGTCTATTGCTAGTATATATACATTCTATTGATTTCTTTTTATAACTTTTATAAAAAGTTACAAACCTTGCTTGAACTCTTATTAGTTCTAATAGCTGCTATTAATATCTCCTTGGATATTCTGTGTAGACAATCACATTTTTTCTAAGTAATAAAATCATACTGTCCTTTCCTTCCTAATTTGTCTTCCCGTCTTACTGTGCTAGCTAGGAACACTAGACTAGTAAATGCTGAATAGATGTGGTGATAGCAGGCTTTTTCTAAATTTGAAAGGAATGTCCTAAACATTTTATCATACGTTGTTGTTTGTGGTAGGTCTCAGACTAAGGAAGTTTTTTATTCTATTTCTGGTTTGCCAAGAATTTTATCATGATTGGGTGTTGATTTTATTTTTTTCCACTCTTACCTTTCCTTCTATTTCCTTTGGTTTACTTCATTATTCTTTTCCTAACCTCTTGAGTTAGAGGCTTAATTTTTGTTCTTTTCTTAACCTATGTATTTAAAAATTATAAATCTCTCTCTCTTAAAACTCCTTAATTGCATTCTGAGAGTTTTAATACATGAACCACAAGACATTTCTACAAAACACATCTACAAGTGTTTTCCCAAGTGGCATACACCCATCCTGAGTCTATGCAAGATATCTTCCCTAGAGTGCAGGAGGAAAACGTTAGAACTTTTTTTAAATGCATTTCTTAACCCTTAAAAATAAGCTTAATTAATATCTAATTTACAGATGATAAGCTCATCATCACTCACATTATAAGGTTAAAGACAATGGCGACCTAATCAGACCCAATAAGAAGTCAGTCCCAAACTGAAATTATCATGGCTACCTGAAATATATATTTATGTCTACTATTATGTCTCACTCTAAATGAGTATTATGCTTTGTGATATTAGCTAATAATGGTGGTCCATGCATAAAAATTATAAGTAAATATTATCAAGGCTACATGTTCAAAATATTTTTGCTGACGGGCTTGCAAAATCAAGTTTGGAGACACTTCTAAACTTTTTCTGTTTAAGTTTAGTCTCGTCAGCTAGTAAGGGAAAGGGATCAAGATGATAAAAGTTTCAAAGGAAAATATAAAATTGCATTAAAATCAGGAGACACTTTTGATGAATGCTTTACTGACCAATTAATATATGTAATCAGTATAAGAGTACAGAAATCTTGAACAGGAGTTCCCAATCGTAATATAAATTAAAGACCAAAAAAACAGAACATAAATTAAATATGTATTGCTAAACACATCAGCACATCACCAATACGTGCACACAAGAGAAGTCTGGCAAACTAGAAACAGAATCGTTTTTGCTATTTCTCCCAAACAAGAAAAGTGTAAGAATCATGTTCTATTTGTACATACTTTAGTTATATGAGTACTATAAGGTAATGAATGAGTTTTTAATTACAAAAAAAAATCAATTTTCTGGTGTCACTTTGGACAAAGTTAGATAATGCCTCTGTAAAGTCTCATTTTAAAAATAATGAAGCAGTCCCTCTATACTAAAATGATTAATAGCAAAATAATTCATTCATCATATATATTTTTGTATTTTTCAATCAAGAAAAAAGGTATTAAGACTATGTGCATAAAAAATTTTACATTTCATAATATAATCTCTTAATTTTAACACTAGCAGGAATAAGAGGAAGGATTATATAAAGATGAATAGGTCTGGTAGTTTTCAAAGTACGTTTTATATTTAATTGAAATAAAATTTTCCTTCAGTTTGTTAGCAGAAAAGAAAATAATTAAATTAGGCTGCCAAAAACTCTGTATCTCAGGATATACAAGAGAAATACAGAAAACTGAACTGTGCACCAGACTTAAAGACAACCCAGGAATTAATCCTATCTAACGTCTAAAATAAAAAAACTCCAGGCGTCTACTCACCAAAGTGAAGTCCCAGTGGGGGCCAGGTGTTAAAAATGTGAAGGAGCTACCTCTCCGAAGGGAGTGTCTGTTAACAGGAAATTAAAACAGTAGGTGAACTGAGAGCAACTTCATTAAAATAAAGCACCAGACAGTTAAAAAGCTATCTTTTTCATAGTTTCAAAATCATTTAAAGTAGCCTTTTAAACATTCAATCATAGAAATAAGAGGGAGGGTACGCAAAAAAAAAAAATCAGGGTACAGGTTCCAGTCACTCTCAGATTTTTTTTTTTTTTTCAGTCAGAATCTTTACAAAGGTGACAGACCTTTATAAAATTAGTGACTAGATTAAGAATATAAAAAAAATAATAATTCACCAAACCAAGCAGAATTTATTGTAGGAATATATACGTTTCAGTTATATGAAATCTCGTTATATATTGCACTAATAGGTAAAAAACACTAAATGATGCAAAAAATTGTGGGATAAAATTTAACATTCATGCTTAATATTTTAAAAACAAGAATAAAAGGGTATTCTTATAATAAATAAAACCTAAATACATTTAATTTGCATTTCATATTAAATTTCTTCCATGTACTGATTTTTTTAAAAATTTAAAATTAATAAACCAAATAAAAAGCTTTGAATTACATCTGAGGCAAAGTCTCAAGTAAGATTAAAATCTGACTAGGATTTTGTTCTTTATTATTAAGTGACAGATTTTTCTTTCTGTCATCTTTCCATTCAATGTGAAGAAATAGAGAATTCTTATGACAAATATCTGTCTTCAACTTTATAAAATATAAATCTCTATGTTTATAAAATATGTAAAAAAAACAAAATATAACTAGCACAGGAAATAAAGACAGTTTATAAACTATACTTTTGTTAATCACTTCAGATGTAAATAAATATTTCCTCCCTTGTGGAAATAAATGAAGATGAACCAAATGAGAGAAGCACATGCTATTTATTCAGAGCTTGCTATAGCAAGGCCCCCATCATTTGCATTAAGGCAGACTAAGAAGCAGGCTGCGGAGGAATAACTTCATAGTAGAAAAAAGAGATGGCTTCAGATGTGCCCTGGCTGGAGGCTGTGTGCAGCGGGGAGCTGTAGGCAGGCTAACTAGGAGCAGGGCATCCTATGTGATTGATTGGGGCGCAATTTGTCTTGCTCTGGTTGAATCTAAGTTAGAAGGGAGCACCAATTTTAGGGAAGCTGGCAGCTATTGATCGAGTCCTGGGTATCTGGGGCCAACTGTTATAGAAGTTATTGTTTGGCTTCCTGAGTTGTCAGGCCATTGTCCTTTTGTATGTTCCGCCTCTCATCCTTGACCCTCATGGTCTTTGTTCATCGTAAGTTACAGAAACACCACAAATGGCTGTTTTTTCCTACAATAATTTGCAAGCTTAAATCAAATACAAGGGCTCCTGTAGTTTTCAAAGCTAAATATAAAGCAGAGTTTATTTATATTTTAAAAGAAACACAAGGGAAAAGGGCTACAGGAGAAAGAGGATGTCAAAACAGCTTCACAGAAGAATTACTAAAGCTGAGTCAAAGAGAAACGGCAATTAGCACAGCACATAGGAGAGCCAGGAAGGCGCTTTGGGCATAGGGAATAGCAATGTTCAAGGAGGGGTGAAATGAATTACATTCAGGAAACTGCAAGTAGTTGCTTATGTTTGGGAATCAAAAGAAATAATGTAGAGCTAGGTCATGATGAAAGGCCTTACACAACCCTCAAAGAGCAAAGACTTCATCTTGAATATGTGGGGCAGCCATCAGTTTGCATCTATGCAAGGAAGAGGCTGGCTGGGAAGAAGGCAAGGCTGGCAAGAAGACCAGATTAGAGGCAGCTCCAACACTGCGCACGGTCGGTGGCAAGGGGCTGAGGTGGAAGGTCTGGGAAAAGCAGCGGGGTAGAAAGAGGCCACCATGACAACATACGTAGGTTTCTCCTTTTCCTCCCTATGCCGGTTCAGTTACTACCAAGGCTTCTGGTGTAGTAAAATACAGCGCCACTAATAATAATTAGAAATAGATGCAGAAAGATCTTAAGGTATTTAAAGCAAATAATTCCTAAAAAGTTATTTGGGAAAGATTTGTTAAATAACAAAAATTCAACCAAGTAAACTTTAAAGATCGAATTGGCTTTAATGAACGATTCACGAACTGGGCAGCTTCCCCTCCAGCACACAGACAGGAGCACCCAGTGGCTGCCCAAAATAGATTTTTAAAGGCAGAGAGGGGGTGGGAAAAGACTACAGTGTTTCAGGCAAGGTCACCTTCCTGAGAGGAAGGGACCTACTGTGCAGATTACTTCAGGATTACTTCAGGAGCACTGAGCAGGAAACCCCACGTGGCCTGGCTGGCCATAGACTACATCCTGGGAGGCTGGGCCTGCAGGTAGGTCAGGCCAGAAACTTTGGCTTGCTGGTGTGTGGGCACAAGTGACTCCATTTTGGGCCTGCTCTTTCTTTTTAACAAATTAAAACACAGTAAGCCTTTGATTACTCTTGGAGATCAAAAACCTTTTTTGAGAGCCTCTTCAGTGGAGCAAGGTAAATGAAGGAAACGATTCTGCAGCTGTGGAAAAGGCAAGCAGCAATGAAGAAAACAGCATGCTTTTTGATAAAACACTGTAACGAGGTGTGTAAGTTAAACAGAAAGACATCTGAAATACATAACTCACATGACTACACGATAGATATGTTATAAACAAACGCTACAAGATTATATGAAGAGCAGAACCTTTGCACCGTAAGTCCATAGACCACTTTTTAAAAACACTGCTTTGGGTAAGTATTATATTAATCACATGGTTAAAAAGAGCCATCTATGGGGCCTGGGTTGTGAAGCAGCAATTACGATTTCTTGGGTTATTTTAAATCTAATACAAATGTTTACTACAAAGTGGTAATCATAGTGGCACTTAAAATATTCAGTAAACACAAGTGTTCGGGAGAACATAAAACTACTCATTTCTTTATTCCCTAGAATCGACCATACTGACCTCAGAATGAATTCTATGTTTGAAAGCTGGAAAGAAAAATAGCTCTTAGGAATTTTAAACAGGTTAACAAACTGGAAAAATATTCCCCATTGGATGGCAAGATTCTTTCCAGAACCAGCTGTAATCAGCTTTACAGTAATGCTATTTTTTCCTATTTCAATAACAAGTACCTATTTATTTTGAATACCCATGGAAAAAAGTAACCCGAAAAACAAATTGTGCCCAGAAAACATGCGAGACAGTGCCAACTTTCAAAAATCTTGGAAAGACATAGTCATTTTTCACAGAGGTCAGACTCAAAATGTAATAGCTATTTTAAATCCTTGTGGGAAACATTTTTTTGATTTCACAAAGCATTATTAATATTATAACTACGATTTCTAGAATATTCCAAATAACAGTTCATTTAGAGAGGAATTTAAAGGTTGAAATAAGAAGTGACTGCCCCTCATCTTTTCAAGAATTTTTGTCCAATCTCCCTTCTTATACATCGAAATAATTATAACATAAGGCATAAAATAAACTAATATATGAAGGAACTAGCTTGGTATATAAAATGGTGTTTCCTACCAACACCACTGTGATTATTCCTTGCTTCTAACATACTTCCTTTCATATTATTTGGTATGTTTTTGAACAATGTGCATTGTTTTTACACTAAACTAGATTTAATCTAAACGAAGCATAATTACAATGGTAAAGTTGATGTTCAAAAAGAGAATCATCCTGCTCATTCATTCTTAAGCCAATTTACATTTTCAGAGATTATGATTTGTGTCACTGCCCTCTCTTATCATGGCAGATGATTAAGAGCTGAATTGTAATTAAATGGCAGAAAGGTAGCTCAATGAACATTTTCATAAAATGTACTAGACAGGAAAATAAACTACAAAAACATAAAGATACTGGCTTAAAATAAGGAAGGTATTTAAGGGTTTACAATGTAAAACAACCAAAATGAATTAGCGAAGTAATGTTTTTAAAAAGTGAGCAAAATAGAAGGATCAATGTTAGGAATACAGCAGAGAAGGTCGCTGAAATGAGCAAGAAGGAAGACCTGAGGCAAAGGAACAGCTGAAATATGACAAAGTGTAACTGAAAATTGTTTGGGATGCCTTCACATCTGTTAAGAAGGATCACTTCCCGTGTGAAAACAAGACTACAGTAGTGCTGAAAGGTAGCTGCTCGGCTCAGGAAGTCGCTCCCACGCACCAGCAAGTGCAACTCCAATAAATGCCTCAGCCTAATTACAAACTACCAGACATAACCTGTAAATGCCAAAGGTACCAGGAATGCAGAAAGAATGATGTAAACCATACTCTAGAGTTAAAATTTGTTGATTTTGGGGGTGCTGAAATATTCAGGCTCTCGATTTCTTTGCAAATTAGGCAAAAAAAAAAAAAGAGAGACAATTATCATAGAAACAATTCATTTATTTGGATCAAACATCTGATGTAATAAACCTCTCTGACTCTTTTGACTGCTCAGCATCTTTGTCATTAAGGAACTATCTCTTCTACCTCTTAAAGATTCTGGAGGGGCTGATAATCACGTAGATTCTACCCTCTACAGCATGCGGGGTTTCTCCCCTGTACCTGAGAGTCCCAAACAACAGACATCTCTTAGAACACCTCTAGTCCGGAATACAGTCGAGCATCTAGAAACCAGCACGCAAGTTCCAAGCACCACCTTAGCACCTCTGTGTTATGCGATTCTAATACACTTCTCAGGCTGCCTTACCAGGAGCATCAAATTCAGAAGTGAGGGTGCAGGGGATAAAAACAGTAAGTAACAGTGAGGGAAGAGAAAAATATCTAAAAGTATACATTATTAAAAATTAGTAGCCTTTGAGAAACAGTTTGGCAACTTCTTAAAAAGTTAAACTTGTTTGTCATATGACCCAGTAATTCCAGTCCTAGGAAACCCACCCAGGAGAAATGAAAACATAGGTCCACAGAAATACTTGCATGTAAATGTTCACAGCAGCTTTATCTACAATAGCCAAACCGAAAATGATTCAACCTTCCAAAAACCGGTAAGAAGGACAAAATGTGGACTATTCATTTTATATAATGGAATATTATTTATCAATAAAAAGGGATGAAATACTGATGCATGCCCAATATAGATGAACTGCAAAAACATGCAGATGCAAAAGATTATATATTGCCTGATTCCATTTATATGAAATGTCCAGAAACAGAAGTTTACAGAGATGGAAAGCAGATCAATGGCTGTCCAGGCTTGGGGGTGGGAGTGGAGAATGACTGCCCAAAACCTGAGGTAATCTTTGGGGTGATGAAATGTTTTAACGGTGGATTGTGGCGATGGTTGCACAACTCTATAAATTTATTAATAATCATTAATAATTATTTAATAACAATTATTAAATAATTATTTAATAATAATCAAACTGCACACTACAACAGATGAACGTTATACAAGTTGTATCTCAATAAAACTTTAAAAAGTACAGTCATTTGATGTAGGAGCAGATAGTCTTAGGAGCTAATGTGGCATCCTTTTATTTTTAGCAACTATTAATAGAAATAGTAATAACAACAGTCCTGGGTTATCAAGAACTGGCTCAATTATTTGTGTTTATATGTCCTGATTTAGTATAAAACGCTGTGACAAACAGCCCACCCAAAAAGTTAAATTCCCTTAAACGGAACAGGAATCCTCAGATCTGAGTTTATACAGAAGAAATAAACTCAGGAGAAATAACTAGCCTAGCCTGAGACTGTGCCTTTAACCCTGGATATCCATTCTGCAAATTCAGCAATTTTACCGGAAAAACAAAATTCAAAGAGTAAGGCCCATCACTACTGGCAGATCATAGATCACAGTATTATCTTTCTACCCATGGAGAGCGTTACTTCAAATCTGTTAAAATATTATAAAAAACCCTTGAAAGGGTGATACATAATGTTCAATGGATTCTCCCAAGGCCCCGCAGGGCAGAAACACAGAATTATTCAAACGTTATTTATTTACATCCGCTATTTACAGTATTTGCAAAGAAGGGCGCCTCAAACGTGGCTGTGAGTGAAAGCCATTGTTCCACTGATCGACATCACTAACCCAAGGCTTTACTGACGTTCAGTGGACGGAGCATGGCCAACGGAACGCTAAGCGAGGAGTCAGGAGACGAAACGCTTTCCCGGGGCAGCAGCGACACCTTTCGTGGACACCTCGCTTCGGACCCCGCGGCATCCGCAGCATCCCAAGCGCTTCCGCGGACTACGCGTCGACCCCGCGGTCCTCGCCGCGACCCCACCGGGCAGGCCTC